CGCGAGGGAGGGGGGCGGCCGGGGAGCCTCTGCCCCTCGCGCTGGGCGCGGGGCTTTGCAGCAGCGAGTGCCAGGCGGTCACCGTGTCCCTAGAATGGGGGAGGGGTCGCGCCGCTGCCGCGCAGCGCGTTTGGGTGATGTTCGTGGGGACCCCAGGGAAGCACCAGCGTGGCCTTGCTAGGGGCTGGGGCTGGATCAAAACTTGGTGCCTTGTACTTTTTCCGCAGCCAGCTAGATCCTGGGAGCCAAGGGCTCCATGGCGCTCAGTGCTGCCCAGCCTAGAGATGTAAAATCCCGTTTCTTAGTTAACTGGATACACGTTATGTTTGACTGGCCCCACGGGGCCGCAGCAGCCCCGTACCTTCGGGTAAGCTCCGTAACCACTAAGCATCACTGGTTAATCATTCTCACCGCTAGGGACTCCAGCCGTGGAGCAAGACAGGCCCCAAAGAGCCCACCAGGCGTGGGGTAGATGGATGTAGACCAGTGGCTCCAACTTTTTGAAGCATATGGACCCCTTTTCAATCTATTAGCATTTTATGGAAACCCACCCCCAGCAATGTAGCTGTGCCTGCATGTCCCTCAGCCCTCTCAGGAAGCAGTGTGAGCTGAGGGACTTGCTGGCTGCCAGCGCATAAGTCCTTCAACCCCGTACTTACCGCTTCGCGAGAAGCAGTGCAGGTTGAAGGACATGCTGGCTGGAAGAGGCTCCATGCATTTATTTTAATTTCAATTTTAAACTTTCCTTGGACCACCCCCGTCTCCTCCAAGTACAATCCCAGAATGCTGGACCACAGGTTGGGAGCCACTGATTTAGACAGACTCCTAGCTTCCAAGGCCAGGAACACATGACTGCCGAGTAGTGGCTCCCATTGCAATTAGAGCACAGCTTTAGGGGAAAAAAACCCCAATCCTGACTTCAGAACGGTCTGCCATAGAGAATATTTTGTCAATGCCTGTGAAAGAGTCAACAGTGTTATGGCTCTCCTGGGATGAAGGGAGCTACAGATTGGGTCTGGCTGGGGAACAGTGAGGAGAAAATTTTTGCTTCTGGATTGACAGTGAAAGAAGGCAGTTTTCAAAATGTACTTAAAATGGGTAGTACTTGGGAAATTGTTCTAACATTTAATTAATTACTCTCCCAGTAATTTATACTTCATTTCCAGCTTAAATTAGTGTGGCTTCCATTCCATTGGATTGTATTATACCAGTTGTGGGCAACATGTGTCCCGCAACACCTTTTGTTTGCTGTTGCCCCTACATAGGGTTGTCAGACTTTGCCGATTTTCATCCGTAGTTTTTTTCCTACTGGTATTACTAAAGTGGAATGCATGTAAAGCAAGGGCATATGAAATGAGGTGTGTGATGATTGTACACAGCATTGAAAGCAATGTGCTCCCTCTGCATGCAATCAAAGTACTGCTCTGCTTCAGTTGGCACCTCTCACAAATTCTAGGTATGTAAGCACAGTTAGCAAAACTACCTTATCTCAGGAGACTTATCTTGTGGTTGTCATGGGGCCAACTGAGATGGAGGACCACTCACTTAGCAAGTGTCTTGATGGTCTACTGAGAGAACCACTTGTATGCACTTAGGATTTTACTTGTACATGTGCTGAGTAACTTCCCTTGCTGTGTTAACTTTGGATATGTTAAATTATTCTAAGAGTGGTAATTATGTATTTTTTTTAATCTAAAACTACTTATAGTCTGCCATGACCTGTTTGTGTTCTAATCTGTTGGTATTTTTCAGTTCTCTAACTGGAACTTAGAATTTATCTTAAGTTTTTCCAGAACTTATGGGAAAGAGAAAAGAGGAAAGTTTTCCAAAACCTGGATACCATAAAAGGCCAAGACAAGAATATACAGATGAATCTGATGATGAGCTTGATGAAGAAGAATGTTCACAGTTGCAGTCTGACAGTAATCCAAGTTCTCAGTCGGTAAGATGTATGTCATGTTAGAAATGACTTTTAAAAAAGAGAAAGAAGAGAAATGGTATAAATATAGCACACTCGATGGTTCTGATATAGCATGAGTGTCTCTGTAGAAAGATGAATATGGAAATAAAGTTACCAGTGATGTTTCTGTCATTCCTTCTTCTGTTGTCCTCTGCTACATTTGAGCAAAATTCTGTTTTCTGGAATAATTTTTTTAGGATGCTATCACCATAACGATCTGTTCTTCGTATTCATTCACACGTGCTAGACAGTTGCTTCCAGCATTCAGTTTTGAGCCTTTTATAAGTTCCACAGCCTGTTGCAGTCCCTACTTCTCTTTTGGAAAAGACAGTAAAGATTGCTATTTTTAAATAAAGAAGTGGGCTGTGCCCACAAAAGCTCATGATATCATCAACGTGTTTTGTTAGTCTTTAAAGTGCTACCAGACTATTTGTTGTTTAAGTTTATCCTGTACAGACTAACTCGGCTACCCGCTGAAGCTTATTTTTTTTAAATGCAACTAATAATTTTGTGTAACACATACTAATCCTAACTAAACATTGTTTAAAATTAAAATCATAAGTTGTACTGGCAGCCACAATCAGTTGCATTATAGGGAATGACTACTGAGAACAAAAAATATAGGTAACCAGTTAAAGGAAATAAAATGTTTGGTTAATTATCCAAAACCTAAACCAAATATGTTGTGCAAGTTGTGATTTTATATTGCACAAGTTGCGGGGGGTGAGGGGAATATTTGAAAGACAGATGGGTGTCTCGGAAGGAGCAGTTGGAACACGGTAGCTTGTTAAATATATCCTAAATAATTTGTGAAACGGTCAAAATAGAATTGCTTTAGAAATATGTTTTTCTGTTTAGGTAGTAATTTAAAATATAATGAGGAGGAGGAATGGTATACTTATTGCTCTTTTAAATAGTTGAGTCCTAATGAGATCAATATTTTTTTTCTTAAAATACCAGAAGAAATGCTCTTCAAATGTAGTGCTATCTGTTGGAAGAACATAAGTTCTAAAACAAAATATGTATCAACATTTTGCCAATGGATTAGCCCTTCTGTGTCTAAATTCAGCCCCTTCTTCCCAACTTTACATCAGAAGTTATTGAAAAAGAGGAAAGATTATTCTAAAAAAAAATTCCTTAGATTATATGAAGAATATTTTTGCCACATGAAAACCTAAATAATCAAAGCATGCTCATGTAAGATGTTTGACTGGATAACTTAAAGGCGAAAAACTAAGGCTATATCTACACTGCACACTTCCTTTTTGTACCTACATGCCATAATGAAAACCAGACTGCCTTCGCTCTGCTGTGTTTGGCCACGCATGTCCCCAGTAATGAGGAGGTGCTAGAGCCTTTCGCCAACTGTCTCCCTGCTGTCAGAGACTTGCCCTGGTATGGGGAAAGACTCCCAACCGCTGGACACTACACTGTTAAAAATGGCAGTGTTCATGGGGAGGCACTACTTGGGCAAGTAGAGAGCCCTGTAGAGTACATATTCAGAGGATTAGGACCTACAAAGTCATTCACCATCTACATTGCTTTTTATATCTGTGCTAAAGGGATTTCTGTGATGTATATGTTCTACCTGCCATGGAAAGGAGTGTGCAGTGTAGATGTACTCTAAAACTGTCTTTGATAAATGATGCATTTGGATAATTATTTGCATTTAATACTACATTATGACTGTATTATGCAACCAAATTTAAAATTTCCATACAGGCAGTCCCCGACTTACGTGGATCCGACGTATGTTGGATCCGCAGTTACGAACGAGGCTTTTCTCGCCCCGGAGGACACGGACTGCGGGACCTCGTGGTCCCGCCGCCCGTGTACTCCGGGGCGATAAAAGCTGCTCCGCGTCTCCCTGGTCTGCAGACCAGGAAGACGCGGAGCAAAGCCGCGGAGGGGCTCGGGCAGCCCAGGCGCGCCTGGGCTGTCCCGCTGCAGGCGTGCTCCAAGGCTTTGCTCCCCGTCTCAAAGGTCGAGAGAACATGACGTATGAGGGAAGACTGAAGGAATTGGGCTTGCTTAGTTTAGAAAAGAGAAGACAGAGAGAGGACGTAATTGTAGTTTTCAAGTATCGAAAAGGATGTTATAAGGAGGAGGGAGAAAAATTGTTCTCCTGGCCTCTGAGGATAGGACAAGAAGCAATGGGCTTCAACTGCTGCAAGGGGGATTTAGATTGGACATTAGGAAAAACTTCCTAACTGTCAGGGTGGTTAAACACTGGAATAAATTGCCTAGGGGATTGTGGAATCTCCATCATTGGAGATATTTAAGAGCAGGTTAGACAGACACCTGTGAGGGATGATTTAGACAATGCTTGGTCCTGCCATGAGGGCAGAGGACTGGACTTGATGACCTCTCGAGCTCCCTCCCAGTGCTATGATTCTATGATACCCTACACCATTTTGCAATAAAACAATGCAGACCACATCCTCAAGATACACATACCTCCCTTTCTGTTACAGGCAGTCCCCGGGTTACTTACAAGATAGGGACTGTAGGTTTGTACTTAAATTGAATTTGTACTTAAGTCGAAACTGGTGTCCAGATTCAGCCGCTGCTGAAACTGACCAGCGGCTGACTAAAGGAAGCCCGAGGCAGAGTTGCTCTGCCCCAGGCTTCCTGGAATCAGCCGCTGATCAGTTTCAGCAGCAGCTGACTTGGGGACGCCTGGGTTTCTTAAGTTGAATCTGTATGTAAATCAGAACTGGCATCCAGATTCAGCTGCGGTTGAAACTGATTAGTTCCAGCAGCGGCTGACGCCAGTTCAGACTTACATACAGATTCAACTTAAGAACAAACCTACAGTCCCTATCTTGTACGTAACCCGGGGACTGCCTGTATTGTTGTGTAGCGTATATTCATCATCAACTACAACCTTCTATCTGTTTGTTTTCCTGTTTTGACTGCAATAATGTGTGTGCTTTTTGCTACTGTTGTCATTTAATCACCAGGTTCTCATATTTTTCATTAATTTTGAGTGTATGGTTTATGTAATTTTTATGATATTTCTGTAGACTTCTGGGGAAGTTGGGATAATTGAAAGCATCCAATTGAAGAACTTTATGTGCCATTCAATGTTGGGGCCCTTTCGGTTTGGATCCAATGTAAACTTTGTGGTTGGAAACAATGGAAGTAAGTATTAATTTGCTCTTTTCTCTAATTACTATTTTTGGCGACTTATTCAAAAACTAAAACAAATACAGTAAAACTCTCTTGGTCCAGCATCCAATGCTCTGGCATTTCTGATGGTCTGGCACCATCGGGAACCCAGAAGTGCTCCAGGCAGGCGGACAATTGGAGCTGCTCTGTGCCCGGCTTCCCCGATTCAGGCGCTGTTGAAACTGACCAGCAGCTAATCGGGGAAGCCAGGGGCAGAGCAGCTAGGGTGCTGCCGGGTTAGTGTGGTAGTGCTGCCCCTCGGGGCTGCGGGATCAACCCGGCAGCATAGCTGCTCTGCCCCAGGGGTCCCCAAGAGCAACTGAGGTGCTGCCAGGTTCGTCCCGCAGCACCAAGGAGCGGTGCTACGGGACCAACCCATCAGCACCCCATCTGCTCTGTCCCAGGCCTCCCTGACTCAGCCACTGCTGAAACTGACCACTGGCTGGTCCCGGGAAGTCCAGGGCAGAGCAGCTCTGCCCCGGGCTTCCTGGAGTCAGCCGCTGATCAGTTTCAGGAGTGGCTGACTTAGGATACCCGGGGGAGAGGAGCGTGGGGGGGGGCCGGG